CTGCATTAAAGACAAAACGATTAAGGCCTATGACATTGTCTTATATTAATGTTCAAACACATACAGTCTTCAAACTAAATCGGCTTAGATTATACTTTGGACAAAATTCTAAACTAATATAGTTTAAATTTGTTTGCACTGAAATTCCAAACTTTAGCCTATCAAATATCACAATAATTTTATTAATATGCTGTTGAACATCTCAAAATCAATCCTTTCAAAATCAATAACATGTCAAATCTGATAAAAAATTAGTCTACCAAGCCTGTTTTTGTTATATAAACCTTCCAATACAATACAAAATCTGTCTACCATGCATATCAGTTTTGGAAGGTTCTTAAATTGCATGTAATAATTCAACTCTTATAGATTATTTTTGGGGGTTTAAAGTTTTGCTAATAGTATTGCTGTGATTCTGAATCATAAAATAAAAAAGATGTTTTACATATTTACTATATCCAAGACTTAAAAGTAACTAGCCTAAATCACATTATATATCAATAAATTTGCAATTTTAACCTTGTAATCTAAATTCTTTGAATTCTTATACTAATCACATCAATAATATAATTAAAATAGAAAAATGAAATAAAAAACAATTATTATATAGTAGATATAGAATATAAAGATAATGATAAGAATAATTCTTACTTTGGATAAGTTGAAAGATATATACGTATTGAGCTTCAATCAAACTTTCAACAGCATCTGCTAATAGAATTTTTTTTTTGAATTTTGATATATATATAATATGTGCGCCAAAAATTCAAAAGAAAATTAGAAATCCTTTTATAACTTTCTACACTAATGAACACCTTGATAGAAATTTTAGCAACAATCATATGATTGCTGCCAAGGGAAAATATACATATTTATATATAGGTTATATTTAAATATATATGTTTTCTCTTGATAGCACTTATATAATTAAAATATAATACAGCACCTCAGGTCTTTATAACTGTAATTAAGATTCGATGTGTATTACTATATTACAATTCCTCTTAATTAAGAAAGTTCGAATAAAGACAGTTCTATTATCTATTGTTGGGTAAGTTTGGAAATAGACTAATATATATTCAAGTATGCATATTTTTTCCCATTAACTCTTAAATATTAGTGCAAATCAGCTTATTATGAATTCGCTTGTAAATAATACACATTTTTCTTTGTGTTCCAAATAATTGTAAAAGGTTATAAATAAATGTAGCTTTAGAAATCTCAGTTCATTCTTCAAATTAAAAGTTTTATCTATTACCTTATATTACTTTTTTGTTTTTGTTAGTGTAAAATTTATTAAAATATTATACAAAATAGCACAATGATATGCAGGTGGTCCTGAAAAACATAGATTTACTAATGATATTATCATGCTTGGTACAAAGGCAACAAATAAATATAATATATATGGAGTATATAAAGCTTATGATAATGCTCTTAGCCACAAAGAAGCTCTAAAATCATTATTAATCAATAAAAAAAATACAGTTTGTAATTACTTAAAAAAATATCCACATTTCTGTGCTAAACTAGGATCTCAAGAGACAGTAGATATATATTGCAACAAAACTGATAATGAAGAAGAACTTACTTCTCAAATTGCAAAAAGGTGCTGAAACACAGATATGTTTGGTAAAAACCTTATTTTTTAAAAAAATTAAAATATTATTATTAATAAATTAATAAATTTTTTTTTTAAATAATAAGATGATGATAACACAAGTGATATAACCAGTAGCACTACAACTTCCACTGTGTCTAACTGCAATAGCAAGCAAAAATCATCAACAGCTTCTGTAACAAACTTCATTGTTTGAGACATTATCACAAAGAAAAACTAAAATTTGAAAGGCTGTTACTTCAGATGACAATTTTAAATAGATGGTCTTTTCAATAGACAACAAATTTAGCTACTTTAGAATTCTTGAATTTTTAAACCTAAAACTTACTCTTTCTAGTTAGTATGCTTTATCTAATCATATTTTTAATGCTGAAAAGACCACTCTAACCTAGTTCTGTGAACAAAAACTAAAAAATAATAATATTGGAGTTACTTTAGCATTTGATAAATGGAAAAATATTTTAAAACAACACATATTCGGTTCTTTATTTATCTTATCAACTAGAGAAACTTTAATTTAGAAAGCAATTAATATAAGCTTGGAAAGAAAACGTATGATTGAAATTATTCCTAAAATTGTATTTATAATTAATGAAGTATCTGATCTAGATGCTAAATTATCTGCTATCATTTCTGATAGTGCTCCAGCATATTCCGGTGCTAGGTAAAATTTATAAAAAAATAAATAAATAAATAAATAAAATAATAATAATAATAAGGGAAATTCTATTTTCACTCGAGTTAAAGTCACCTGATATATAATTTCCATTATATTAAATAATACAAACTACTATAAGGGAGCTGACACTTATTACGTAAAATCAACTCCCCTCCAGCGACAATAACAGATTCTAAAGTAATCATAATGGAAACTTTATATGATTAGTTATTTTAGAGTTTGCAATTGTCAAAAGATCAATTACTTTAGAACTTGCTATTGTCACTGAACGGTGGTTGATTTTACGTAATAAGTGTCAGCTCCCTAACCAGTCAAAAATTCTATATATTTTTTTTGATAATTCGGCAATCCTGCCTCTGTTTATTTGAGATTAAACTATTCAAGAAAATTTCTATCTATAGTTATCGCTAATCTAACCAAACAAGAGACTCACCCTCAACTTTTTATCGCCCAGATGCGACCCGCCTCAGTAGATCTTGGCCTCCCTCCGGATCCTTAACTCACTAAGGATTTATTCCCTTTAGTCACTGGCTGGCATCTACTTGCCATATCAAGACTGCCAACTTTTCCTTCTAAATTTTTTCTTCTTCTCAAGGGACATAAGATGAAAAGTGAGAAGTTTAAAAAAAACAAATAAACGAAAAAGAAAAAACAGAAAAGAAAGAGAAAAAAATCAAAAAGAAAAAACAAAAACACAGATGTCGAAAAAAGAAAAACATAAAGAAAAAAGTAAAAACAGTATGATAGTACTCATTATGCCTGTGCTAAGGCCTAAAAAATTATATATTAATTGCAACTATTAATATATCTTAATTATAAAGCATTACTTTATCATTAAGAACTCGTTCCGGACAAGTCACCCAATTTGGGTATCTCTTAAATGAGGCACCGGTCTTCTTCCCATATCGTAGCACTGTATTTGATAAACAAAACAAACATGTGATTGCATTCTACTGAGTTTGTCCGAATTAGGTAAGTGTAAACAATGCTGATCTCAAGTTTTTTCAGTGAGTGATAAACTCTAAGCTTGTCAGCAAGTAGCGTATGAGAACTACTTCTAAATGACAAGTGCTGTGTCTACAGTAAGTGATAAACTCTGAAGCTATTAGCAGGTAGCGTATGAGAACTATCTCTAAATAATAGCTGCTGTTCTTATGGTCCCTTTTCCTGCGTCTTATAAGCTAGTCCAGATATTTTTGTTTTTTTTCTAATAAAAGTTTTTTAGAAAATTTTGGTTCAAGTGATCGTCAGAAAGAGTTTTTTTTGACTGAAAATTCTATATATTAGTTAATTAGAGGTTAGGATAAAATTTATATTATAAAGTATAATAAAAATTATGTATCAGGTAACTTTAACCCGGGCGAAAATAGAATTTTCCTAATAATAATAATTATAATAATAATAAAAGAAAGAATCTTTGTTTAAAGATTCTAAATCGGTTTAATAATAAACTATTAGTTAATAAAAGATTAATGTTTTAAATAGACGTCAGTTAAGATTACTATATCCAAAAATTGTTTTTTTACCCTGCTTCGCTCATTAATGTAATCTTGCTGTAGGAGAAATCTTCAAAAAATCTAATGAAATCAAAGTTGCATCTAAACAGGCTCTAAAAATAGTTTTATATTTTAATCATACCAATAATTCATACTTTATTGAAAAACTTTAAGATATACAATTTCAAATATATAAAACATGTATTACTCTAGTTTGCCCAGCAGATACTTATTGAAATTCTTATTTCTACCGCTTTAAAAGTTTAATAAAATCCCACCAGGCTTTGAGAGTAAGTATTATATTTTTTTAAAAAATTTGTTATAAAATTTTTAAAGTATATCTACTATAATTGTAATATAATAAGAAAATTTAATCCACATTTACTAATCTATATATGTTAGTTTAATTCTGATATTAATAAAATAATAAAATGGTTTAACTTAATTCAATAATAATAATTTTGTTTTTAAGAATTTAGCTACTACACATGAATCTCTTTTAGATAGTTTAACTCAAAATTTAGATAATGAATTAGATTAATCTTCAACCAATTTAGATAAACTTTACTTTTTACAAGATATAACCTCAATTCTATTCAATGATAATTTCTGGCATTCAGTAAAATTGTTGTACTTATTGCTTCTTCCTTATTGCAAAGTCCTCAATAAATTACAATCAGATACTGCTCGCCTTCATAAAGTGCTACAATCTTTTGGTGGAATATTAAAAATGTAAAAAGAATATCCTGATAAAAATTTAGCAGAGTATATAATCTTACGGTTAGAATAAAGGTAGAAGCAATGAGATCAACCATTATTGTTATTAGCTGTTCTTTTAAATCCAAGTATCTGTGATACTTGATTCAAAACTAATACTAATAATTTAAACTTTATATACCTTGCTCAATTCATTACTTAT